ACCGAGAGGTACGTTCGAATAATCGGCTAGGGGAATTCTATTCTCTGCAGATGGCAAAATCGGGGGGGAAATGCTTGTTTTCGCAGGGAGAGCCACATTGCGCTCCAGATACCTTTCAAATCTTCATCCAACTGTAATCGAAAATATATTTCCCGCGGCGGGCAACAAAAAACGATACAACACACGGTCATTCAATAAAAGTCGAGAGAAATAGGTCGCACGCAATGCCTCGCCATTACAATTTCATTTCTCCCGGGCTTGAGTTAATGCATCCTATCGATTTGCTTTTGCGTGGCAACTCGGGGGAACCGCGATAATTTCAATGAGCGGAAAAAAATCGAGGGAAAGATAGAAAAGAGTGGAGATGCAATCCTAACCCTCGAATTGCACCACTTCTATTCAACAAGATTGGAAAGACGCGACAAATTTTCACATTATTTCCGTTGCGAATTTTATTCAATTTTTTTCACTGGTTTTTCTTTCGGTAAAATTCACGTGAAATTTTTAGATGGAAAGAACTTTGTAGAAATACAATTTCTACGTATTGAGAAAGAAGAAGACGTGAACCATCAGTTTCACAAATTTTCCAAACCTCCTTACATTCGTCAAACACAACTTTCTCACTTACTCCAAAATAACACGTTCAATTCATTTTTACTAAAATCTGACCTCGATTTACCATTTCACCCTGAAAATCCGGATTTTTAATAAAAACGAAAAAGAAAATCTAGCCTCAATTTGCAGGGTATCATTTAACCGTGTAAATCGAGGCTTAAGCTTAGGCCAATGGTTTCGAAGCGATCGTTCCAGATTTCTACACATTAGATCCCTGTCAGCCGCTTCGAAGCGAGCCTTGACTTGTCTGTACTTCTGAAAAAAAAAAAAAGAGCAATAACGTTGCCACACTTAATAACGCAGCTGCCAATTACCGAGACGACCATTCGGCTTTACCCTGATATCGAGGTCAATGCCGATACTTCCTCCACACACGAGCCGAGAGACCTCAAAATCCCTACGGAACAACGGACGGATGTCGATGAATATTACGTGCTGTATGTATATATGTGGAGGGAATGTATATGACGAGGGACGATGTCGGTTCGATTATCTACCACGAATATACACCGTTGGTTACATGTCTGCACAAAGTCAACTCGTAACTGCGATCTACTCTCGAGCTACTGGGAATTACAGGTACGAATATAGACAGAGGTATACATATTACGTGTACATTTACGAGAGGAATATGTATGATATAGAATTCTACGATGACCTTTTCTCATCGAAACTTACCCCAAAAGAGCTGATTCCTCGGCT